ATGGGAGAGGCCTGTGTTAAAGTGTATAGTTAACCGTTGTTATGAATGATGAATGAATGTCTAAGTATTCTTCTTTATCCTGGCTTAAATCATTGATCTAATGTGCTAGATGATCGTGTACTGGGATCTTTACACCACGTTTTCAGCAAGACACAATACATGATAAATGGTACTCATATGTGAAACAACGAATACTTATACCTATATACTTATATCATGACTTTACGATTAAATTCATTCATGTCTATCTGATGTTTTAAAGATGAAATTAATTCACCAATCAAACATGTTATTTTGTCTCAGTGTTCGTTTACTTTTTGTATCGAACCTATTATAGTTGTTAATATATTGTATTGTTATTTATAATCGCACACAATTGTAATAATAACGATTTCCTCTTGTGGATAAATTTGATAAATTGCATCTTTTTGTGTTACATCGCATTTTGCTCATCGGTGGACTATGGGAAACTTGTTGTGCGTGTGAATAGTCATTATTACTGAGAGGATTATAAATATGTTTGATGCGTTTTTTTTTCTTTTTTCCCCATTACTTTTGACACGATATCTTATAAACTACCGGGTGTTTTTTTTTTTTTTTTTTTGTAAATAGTAATAACTTTATTTCTATAATTTACTAGAGGAAGACTTTGTACAAAAGTCGTTTGCTTGGGCACCTCTGTACCATTCGTGTTTCTACCTTGAAGCAGTTGTGTTTGCATGGTTGTGTTTCGATTTGAAAGGTGGGATAAATTCACTGCCATGAATTTACAGGGTACGAAGGAATAATATCTGAGTTCTCAGAAATAGCGACACATAATGGGTATCATGGATGAAACAGTATACTGTGTTATGTTCATGGTACTGCTTATGTCTATAGGAAACAGTCATCACTTTCCATCAGGTGGGCCGTCAGCTTGTTTGCCATTCTATATTTTAATTTTATAATGAAATTATATTTCTTGAAAATTCGTTTTAGAACAATATCGAATGACGATAAATTTTTATTATATTCATTACACTTAAAATAATATTCACTTTAAAATTGTAAAGGTATTTTCAGACAAATATATGGCTATAATTTCTTGATATTATCATGACTGGGATGCTTGTTATAGCGTCGAAATATCGGGAGCTTACGAAGATACGATCACGGTAAGGAACACGTTATAAATGTGTAAAGTTATAAAGATATTATCTATGACAACGTTTCTTAACCTTCTTAGTGTGATGTTCCACTAAATATAATAGATAAAGAATTAAGTAAAACTCGCTCATTATATCGTATTATATTGACCGTTATTAAAATTCTATCTAAATATATAAATCAATGGACAATAATTTGCTTATTTTACATTGGATGTACCTTTGAGAAATTTTTAAATAAAAAACAAAGTCAATTGTTACATTTAATTGTATGTAATGAAACAATTATTATTATTATTACATCTATTATTTAATTTTATACTTATTAAATATTTTTTTATACAACTTAAAATGGCAAATAAGCTGACGATCCACCTGATGAAAAGTAGTACCGTTGCTAATACACATGAACAGTATTATGGACATAACAGAATATTCTGTTTCGCCCAAGATACCCCTGTGCGTTGCCATTCCTGAAGACTAAGGTGTTATGCCTCTGTACCGTATAAATTCACTGTTTTTAATAGTAATTTTTAACTAAAAAGGTAATTAATCAAGTAATGGACTCGTTGCAACCCGTTTCATACTGTACGTGACCACCCTTGCGGGCATCAATTTGAAAAATGAAGATCCATGCTATCGCTTCAGAAATGCTGTCGAAACCATTTAACCTTCCAAGAGTTATTATTACACTTTTATGGAATATCAATTTCAACACTTATTGAAGATAATTAAGTTATCAGAACAAAATTTATTATCTGTTCCATTTTTAAAAATAAAAGTAATATTGCTGCTGCGAAATTTAATTTTTCTTTTTAAATAGCCACATCCGCTCATTTTTAACTGCCAAGCCTTTATATCTTGAAATCAATTTAAAATATGTTGATAATAAACTTTATGGAAGGTTTTAACGTCCATTATCTTCATGATCCCGCCGCACTGAAGGCAATCAAAATATTTTTACAGTTCTTCACTTTGAATTAACATAATGTTTTTAACTGAAATTATTATTTTTATGTTTATTACTTCAGTTTTATTGAAGTTACTCAGCGAAAAATGTACCTACACTTATTTTCTTTCTTCAGTTCTATCATGAAACTCGTCAAAGATCTTAATTTAACATACCTAATATAAACCCTGACCTCTCCGTGTAAATTCCCATAAACCACGAACTTCCTAATAATGTCAGCAGTTGTATGCAATCGTTTTTAATTAATTTCGATCGATGATAATATCACGTCGTGCACGTATCGGATAATTCGCGTCCATTCTGTTCAATATATTTTTGTCAACCATAAACATCCATGTGTCCTAGATCCGGTATTCACAAATTTTCCTAGTTCGTAACGCACTTACGTCTCTCGTCTCAACGCCCTGCTCAAAATAGGTGTAATACAATGGTTGAAGAGATCATAAATTAGGCTTATACTTTGAGAAACGCTGTCATAGGACATACTGGCACTTGTAACACAAATAGACACACTATTTGTAGTTTTTTTTTTTTTTTTACTGATTTAGCAGTAAATAACTACTAGTAGTTTACTATAGAATAAAAAATGTGCCATGTTATTCGTTACTCTCGTTACGGTTAATTTATGAGAAAACAACCTTTTAATAGAATTTGGAACACATAACCTAGTAATAAATAATTGTTACCAATAAACAATTATTGTACGGCCGATTACGATATAAGCCTTTCAATCACTAAAATACATAAAATGTTTTATCACCATATAATCACATTTGTATGAGATTATTCACGATTAGTTGTTGCTAAACAATTAATCCAATTTACACCCGTGTAGTCCAAATACAACCACATTTTCATACAAGTCTCCATTCAAGATTTTTGTCTTTTTTTTCAGCCATTAACTATCCACTGCTGAACGTAAGCCTGCCTCATAAGGGGAGTTGTGACAACCGCAGTTAGGCTTTTAGAGATGTTTTAAGAGGACGCTTTTGTCCATCTCTCTATCATTAAATTGGGGACCGGTAGACAGCAAAGGTCGCTAGTTCGGGGGCCGACCACATACTAATTTGTTGCAGTATCCGGTCGTTCATTTACCTTCCCAATGCTCCTCAAATATTGCGTCTAAATTGCGACCACCAAGTACCCACTTGTATAGGCATTCCGTCACCCGTATCCAATAGCGAGGACGGAATGCCTTAAATACTGTACCACAAACTATAAAAAAAGTCCTTAAGTTCCATTCCTTTAGTCGCCTCTTACAACACCCACAGAAAAGGAAGGGGTGGCTTATTCTATGCCCAGACCACATGTTGCCTAAAATCCAAAGGCTGCTTGGTAGAAAATCCTTACAGCATTGAGGCCCACCCATTGATTTCATAGAAAGTATACGATCCTATTTATTTGAATAAAATTTGTTGTAATATAAGTAACATACCTAACAAACTCTTTATTGCGCATAGAATAAATATTTGTTACAAAATGTACATGTATAGAATATTGATACAGAATGTGCAATTATAAAACACGATCTTTTAAAGCAATCTCTGTATTATACAGACAACCTGACACAAAATATCGTTTAGTTTTCCTTCTCTTGTTGCAGTGTTGTTTTTTTTTTTTCAATGAATAAAAAAGGATGGTAACCAGTGAGTAGGTGTGGATGACGTCACTCATTTGGCTCATCGAATTCATCATGATTTAACCACGATTATTTCCAGAAGGAACAATGTAAAGGTCAAACCGATAGGGTAGATTTATATGATTGCTAACAATGGGGCCTTAGACCTTGTTACTAACAATCCCCTCCCTCTTACACTGATTAGTTATTATTTATTTCTTTAACTCTTACAATATCCTGGGAATGAAAATACATTGTGTTCTGTTTAATCAATAAATGCCTACTACAAATTGCAGGGAAGGAATTGTTAATAATGGAGATTAAGGCCCGCATTGCTAGCAATATATCCAACGACCTGGTTGGGTTAGAGTTCACCTTAACCACCCCCTGGAAACTATCGTGCTAAAAACCAGGTCCTCTAGACAATTGGCAGGCGAATTCGTCGATGGAGTTGACATCGCTAGCGAGTCCTTGAGATAGAATGAGACAGCAACGTTGGATGTCTTATTCCAACTGTAGGCCAGGTGTAGTTTCATCACGATGGGCTATCTGACCTATCTTTTTGTCCTCACATATCATCACTCACTGGTACCTCACCAGTATATACCGATAGAGTACGCGGGGTTACCATTCCATCATCACCCATTAAAATACTAGAGATTCACTTTGGAAAGCCTACACTGTATGTATGTGATCCATAAAGATAAAACGCAATATTGAATAGATGACGCTGGACTTAGATCATCGTCACATAAATGCGGCGAGTGAATAAGTAAATATTTCCTTTGTGCCACTGTCTGTTGCTATTTGATTAGATACAAGAAATATCGGCCGCGCAATAACATTACGTTTTCTTTATATATGTTCGTTTATTGATTAGACAATCTCGAAGTGATTTATTTCGATAACTATCCATTTAAACTTACGTGTAACATTATTCATTGCAGTTATATCATATTTTCACACTACTTGTAATAGGAAGTTGTAGGCTATTAATTATTATAAGTGTTTTTTTTTTTTACTTCTGTATCATTACTGCTTTCGTTTGAAACTAGCTATTTGCCGCAGATTTGTACTCGTAGAACACGTTACTGTCTGTTCCCGTGGGAAAATTCGGCAAATCCTTAATGGATGCTTACATCTATTCACTTTTTTTTTAATCCGAACGCAATTATTTAACGGGTTTGTCGACGTATTCTGTCTATATACGGATTGAAATATTTATAATCACGAAATAAATTAAGAAATAAATAAAAACCACTTTTTACTATATGTAATTAGTTTATTACTAATTCCTTAAATATCTTAATATATATAATCGATAATTTATTCGTTATCACTGAGCTAATCTTCATCGCCATGTTCAAATAATAGGACAAAGTCCATCTGTATGTGTTCCTTTTCCAATGGTCTCTACACTGTGTTTTATTACGTATGTACTGTCACACAGTTTCACAATCTTTCCTGTAGTCGCCCTCTTCATCAGCAAACTATAACCAATGAGTATTTGTAAAAATATTCTATAATGGGAAAACACATTACAAAGAGGAAATACATTAAATAATTGAACTAATTTTTTTTTTAATTTTCTAAATTGTTGATAAATTATTGATATACTCGAACAAAAAACGAGTTTAATAGCAACACCACAAGTGATTGAATTAATGGAGTTACGTTCTTTTTTTTAAAATAATACCAAGCGAATGCAATTCCTAACATTTGTTTGTACCTACTAAAGAAAAGCTTGCCTTGTTTATGAAACAACAACTCTATATTTATATGACCAGTCCACAAAACAAGAAGTCTAAAGCTAAATTTGGATCTAACGCGGCGTACAGGACAGTCGGATGGTACCATGAGGTCGGAGTAAGGTCGCGTATGACTCATCAACCGGATCTACGAGTAGCAAGCTGCACGAACTCACTAAGGCTTCGATGTGCTGAAAGCAATGCCTTTCTGATACTTTATACTTAGCTCAATACACTAGAAATAACTTGTGAGTAAAACGTTTGAAATTATTATCCAACAAGGAATTTAAAAAGTATGTATCAAACCCGTAAAATAAATCGTCACTGTATAAAAACAATTTCACAGTTACTAGTTACATAACTGATTCAACTGCTGTCCAATTTATTAACAACATTACTGGCACTTTTTATCGTAAACATTAAATTATTATACAGCACGATTCATATAATTTATTTCATTAATATGTACAAATAATATTAGACACAAACAATATATCTATTCTCAATTTGACCATAGACTTTAACAATAAACAAAAAGCAATAAATGTGTGTGTTTGATGATTTAATATATTTTTTATGCATAATTTAAAAAAAAATATTAACAATCTGCACTCCTTCTCTATACACTACAAGTGTGCAAAAATTCATACTCTTCCGTCTACGCAATTTTCTTAAAAAGGGGTACAAAGTTTTTGTTTCACGTATTGATATATACATAATCGTGTATGTGAAACTATCCATATTTCCAAATCCTCAAAAGAAAAGCGGGTATCGATCATAGCGGAATATTTAACTCAAGCTTAGATATTACTAATTATTCTCAACTTGAGTATTTCTCAAGAAGTGTAAGGTTTAACAGGAAAAGTAGCATTCATATTAATTTTATTCAATCTTGAGGTCATACGAGTATTGATGTGCCATTGGGGACTCCCAGTTTACCAACTAAATGGCTGTATGGATTGTAACCATTGACGCACGTTTAGATTTACCGTGTTGTATCAAGTATCGTATTAAGATATATGGCTGACCGTAAAACGCCATTATTGTATCTTAGTATTTCTTTTTTTATAAATTCGACAATATGGGTATAATTTGAAAGAGCACTATTGTGGAATTCTCTATAGTTGTCTATACAAAATTGTTACCTAAGTTATGATAATTATTTAGGTTATTTGGTTATGTCATTTAGGTAAGTCGGCTTGGGTCCATAATACGGTTTCTTCTGTAATAACCATTCAGTTTGAATTGGACATTACACGTCGAACCACTACATTACAAAATGTGTCATTAAATTTTATTTATAATTTATGCAATACTATATATTATAGTAAATTATATAGTACTGCAATCTTATTACCAAATTTATCTTATATTAGAACCGTTAGAAGAATATTTCTTTATTAGGAAGGAATAATAATATTTTCATACAAATGTATACAGCCATTTTACTTGCGACATCTTTTCTAACAACTATAGAAGTGACTCCACCGTATTTTCTATACATGGCATCGCTGCAGTGCCTTCTTAAATATTAAACAACTGATAAGATATGTGTACGACCGCGTCTACGCGCCTACTTTCTGGTTCGCCTTTCTACCAGTTGCATCATTGCAGAGGCTCTGTTTCACAGTGAAATGATAACAGCGATGTTGTGATAAGATAAAGGATTTTGTCTATTTACTTGCATATACAAATAATCAAAGAATTTTATGAAATTTGTAAAATCATTCGATTTTTAAATTAATTAGAGGTAAATAAAAACGTAGTATGGGGCGAATAGATATATATAATATGAGGTTTATAGAAACGGAAATGTTAGAATAAAAACGAGTAATGGGACAATACAATTGTAGATGGGGTTGACAAATTCTACCCATATTATTTTTATATTTATAAATAGAATATTTCCCGCAGAAAAAAATATATATAAGTGCATAATTCATTAGTAAATGACACGAGGTAAAAAAATCTTAAAAATTAATATACCCATAACAGTAATTACAGGTAGCGGTTTCAGCGATTATTTTTTAGCATCGAGCCTTATAATAGATATATTTGATGTCTCATGTTAATACAGAAATAAAATTAATATCTATGTCAAAGATCGCCCCATTTTACGGTATCTTTTAACGTTAACGATGTATTTACGTTAAATAAGTTGTTGAAAAGCATTCTTACAACAGGTAATATGGGCATCTTGTTAAGACGAATTTTTGTTCACTAGACAAGGTAGATGTTTATTATAAAATGATTTGGTAAAATAATACTACACGTAATGACCTTGACTCATAATGCACCTTTTTTAAATATTATTATAATCAGCAAATAATTTCGCTTGTTTTGTGAACAGGACGTGCCTGTGTACATTTCTCGGTACTGATAAGGTTATCAATTAGGTATTATCTGATATCGATAGAAAAATATGGTAAAGATAGTGGTTTGAATATTTATTTGATATTCTATCCGTGCAATTATTAGATATTGGAAAATTTAAATTCTTAATGAATAATGTCTAGTTTGTAGTTTTAACTTCAGAACACTTTGTCGTTTGGCATTTTTTTTTAAATAATATTAGTATTATTTAAATATTATACTAGCAATATGTTTTACATACTTTTTTTATGGACGATAATGAAATGGTAAACCCTGACCGTGCTAACGGTATACATCGACGGAGCACCACTCAGTTATCTCTAAACGAGGATGAAAAGATAGGTCAGTTAGCCCAGTGTCCATGGGGGACTACGTGGAGGTCGACCTGGTTGGGTGTTTTGCTAGCAATTGAACCTTGAATCTCCATTACTAACAAACCCCCTCCCCCCTATATACTTATTTGTTTACGAAGTGTCCAATAAGAATAACACAATATATCTATTATGTATATCTTTGTTTCTTATCCAATAGGATGGAATAATAGTTCCATTGTAATCTACTATCTTTGTATGGTGTTTTTAAGATTCGGAAAAATCGAAATATTCTATTCTCCATATTTTATGTTGTTGCCGTTTATCACAAGATTTTTTAACAACCGTACATATCAAGTGTGGTCGTGTGGTCCCGGCGTAGAATAAACCACTCCTTCCTATCTTGTGGATGTCGTTAGAGCCGACAAAGGGAGGGCGAGGAATAAGGCAGCAGCGTCTCCCTTAAAACATCTCTAAAGCCTGACTGCGGTTCCCAACCCGACGCCAAACGTGGCAACTACTGGCAAAACCCTCTAAGGGGAGGTTTATGTTCAGCAGTGGACGGTTAAGGACTGACATGATGATGATGATGATATAAAGTATAATTACAATTATGGGAATTATCTTCTTTTTTTTATACAACTTAGAATGGCAAACAAGCTGACGGCCCACTTGATAGAAAGTGGTAACCGTCCCCTGTAGACATGAGCAATACCATGGACATAACAGAGTATACTGTTTCGCCCATGATATCCCCCATGCGTTGCCATTCCTGAGGACTCAGGTGTTATTCCTCTGTACCCAGTAAATTCACGCCATATCCCACCCTTCAAACCGAAACACAGCCATGCAAACACAGCTGCTCCACGGTTGAAACACGAATGGGACAGAGGTACCCAAGCAATCGACTTTTGTACAAAGTCTCCCTCTGGTCTATCTACATTACATTAAGGTTCCTTAATGTTACCATGTGACTATGTACCAAAGATAAGTATCTACTAATCTACGTCAACAGATTACACAGCGTACGGCATACTAAACTACTTTGGTACGCATTTACCGATTTTTTCATTTACCGTGAGTAATGTGACAGTTAACCGTGATACGTACAGTTCTTATACCAAAATCTCATCACGTTTTGCATGTAACTGAATACAAACATTGCCATACATACATAACCCACTTCCATTCGTCAGTTTCCCCACTCGCCTGCGTTCGCCGATCGCAGGGTTAATAGCATATTTTCTTTTCGTCTCACTTCTGTTTTTCCATGCTTCACTTGTGCAATGGTGTATAACAAACGTCTTGTTCTGAGACAATGCTGCTTGGTGTTAATTGAAGTATAGATTTTTTATTATCGATTTGACAGTATTAACTGTAATACAAGTTGATCTGTATATTTTAATGCAATTTTAATTTGTCAAGACTAAACATGTTTTAACTCACTTTGGTTTAAGCGACTTTTTAAGGAGGTTATTCTTCTATTTTTTTTTTTTGTGATATTACACGGTTTTTACCAATTCTGAACTTATTTTAACTGTTTGACTATCTCTTTTTGTTATAGATGTTATTTATTCCCGTGTTGATGTCATATTAATTTTGTCACTATTGATTTTTTTTTTGTTTACGAAACAAACTTCTGTTGGTCGTATTCATATTTCTATATTCGCAATACAATTCTAAGTTCTAAATTCAAATGTTTTCAAATATCAATCAATGCGTCTGTACCTATATCATCTTAACAATTATGTATATTAAATATTCACTACTCGCAGCTCATTAATCTAAAACAGATGGAAACTTTAAATCTATATATCATTAATCTAACGAAATTCTACTTAAGTATATAGTTTTTGCAGCACCCGTGTTCTGTATTCATTGTATCGTCACTAATGATCTTGACTGAAATAGAAAATGTGACCACAAATGACGCCGATACGATTGCGGTCGACGTTCTAAAGGGCCTAGAAATTGGCGGAAATTTGCTTTCTAATGACATGTTTATTGTTTGTAAACTTTTGAATTAGCCTCATATCTGAAATTTTGTAAAAAGTATAT